AATATTGATAACACTTTGTTAGAAAGAACTGGAACAGTTAGAATTTACATTTGGATTAGACTTTTCTTACCAACGAAAACTGACTAAAGAAAATAAGCCAGCAAGTTACGCTTCTATATATATTTTGTGTAAAACAAAAAGGAAAATTAAACAAAATGAATAAAATAAATTAGAAAATATGTGGTTGAAAAAAGAGCAATTTGTTCTTAGGCTCACCTAGAAGTGCTCTCGTCCAATAATCCATCCCCAAATCTGTGCAGTCAATGAGATAACTGAGATCTTCAGCAAAGAACCTGAAAGCGGATCTGGACTAATTTGCATTATATGAGAAAATGATATCAACTGTAATTTTTTCACCAAAAACTTACAAATTCGTAAACATTGATGATCACTTCAACTTCGATTGCAAGAAAAATTTTGAAATGTGAAGTGTTTCATAGATGGATTCAAATTTGAGTTAAAGAAATTCTCAATTTCATAAATAAGAGTCTCCCAATTTCTTAAATAATTTTTTATAACTTTGAAAAAAGAGCAATTTGTTCTTAGGCTCACCTAGAAGTAAATTCAAATTGTACCTTCAAATTGTACTCAAGATAATATTTATTTTTCGGCATGAACAAAAACCAGTTCCGAATAGAAAGGGAAACCAACGAATAAACACATAGCAAAAAGAGTACCTGTGTAATGCAGCATTTGCAGCTCGTATACACATAAGATACTCGTTTCGTCCTTTTGTACATTTTGAATGGACTGCTTCGTATTTGTCTTCTCTCTAAAATTCCTGAGTATGACACAGTGAAGATTATATTACAAAATACCAACATTACCACTCGATAAAGGCTATAATTCGTTTAAAAAACTATTAGAAAAAGTGATTACAAACAGTTACCTGATTCCTTAAGGAAAGTAGAAAATGGCAAAGAAAATTATCCGGAAAAGCAAGGTTTATAAATGGAGTGATGCTAACCTTTTTCAAATACTTGCACAGATTACGGTATTTGCGGGTTCCCTCTGTTTTTCCAGGATTTGCTTCTTCATACCGTCGTTTTTCTTCCTCGGCTAGTCTTAGCTTTCTTTCCACTGCGGCTAACTCCGAATAACATAACTAAATATTTGATAGGAAGAAAATGAATAAGAAGGGTTAAAGCAAGATCTCGTACAAACATTCGTAGAAGGAGTTCTATGATAAAAAAGAAAAGTTTAGCATGATATAATAAAAAGAAAAGAAGCAGTTTCCCGCCAAAACATTTAAATTCCTACTTGATATGTTTTCATAGCAGTATGTAACTCCGTCAATACCCGATTGATTTCGCTGTGTGAAAGAGCACCAATTTCTCGACACTGAAATCAAAATTTGTTATAACATTCTAACCAGCAAAAAGAGGAACTAAGAAAAAAGTAAAAGCAGCGAAAACCCACTCTCTTGCTTATTTTCCCCAAATCCTCACATCTTGAGCTAATACTCGCAGTGATATGTTTAGTATATAGTTCAGCAAGAATCTAAAGGAAATTATCATATGGTAGGGATGATAGAATAAAAGATAAGAAGCACCTGTCTCTGCTGAGCCTCGCTTTTAGTATCATCGACAAGTTGTTGCCAAGCAGAGCATGCTGCATGTTGCGTCCAGCTGTCACGCCTAAAATAGATACTACAATATTGAGGTAAAAACTCATCTAATTAAGTTTTTTTTCTTGAGGAAACTGTCTAGAAAAGGCGTGAAGAGGAGGTGAACTGTGGGAATAATCTAAGCTGACAGACTTTTCATTAAGTAGGAATGGTCGATTATGACGCAATCATT